GGACCCTTCTTCAGAAATTTCTGAAGAAGGGTCCCGACCCGAAACGTCAGCTTTCCTGCTCCTCTGATGCTGCCTGGCCTGCTGCGTTCCTCCAGCTCCACACTGTGTTACCCTTTGCATTATTGACTTGTTACAGATTTCAAACTAGACATGATTCTATTTTAGAATATGGGTGTACAAGTTGTGGTATGTTCTATAGTATGCTTTCTAATTTAGATAATTTAGTCATCTGCCAGAACTGGTGAGGCCTTTCTGCCGGTCCCACAATTACTACTTTCAAAGCTCCAAAAAAAGCATTCTAATAGTTTGGCAGAAGGTTTTGTTTAAAATTCTGGCTCTGAGAGTCTGTAAATACATTTCAATTTTGAGAAATTTTAAAAAGAAACATAATCCTATATTTGCGTAAATAACAGGAATGTTCTGCACAATTCATGTTGCTGAAGGAATGTTTACAAAATCCAACAAAACATGAAACTACAGGGGCTACAAAATGTCAGTCATCCCAAGGAAATGGAGAGCTGACAATATAAATTGGCTGCATACCATATTAAGTGGTTTGTTGATGGTATTGGCTTCAAGTTTCTATTGTGGAGAACTTCTGTCAAAATAGGCAATGATCCATGAACAAAAATGTCCCGGACAGGAATGATGGGTCGATAGCCTCCTTCTGTACTGTGTCATTATGTGATTCTAACACACAGCCATTGAGAGTCCCTTTTTTTTTCTGTTTGAAATGACAAGTTTAATTGAGAGCTGGAGGTAGAGAAGAGTGCCCGCAGGTACGGTGATGGGGAATTGGTTTTGTGACCAGAGTGAAGACAGATTTGAAAGGCTTAACATCAGAACAAATGAAGGTTGTAAAATGTTTATGAACTGTTGGGAAGAGAGAGACCCTCCATGAAGGTGTGGTCTGATTGATCTGTTAACAATCTAAACATGAGTGTTTTTTTTTTCTACTTTTTAATTGAAAAATATTTGAAATTAGGCAACTGCTTTATTTTTAAATTCAACTTTCAAACTCACACAGACCTTCTAACTATAGAGCTTTAAAAGAACAACTAATTCTCAAATGAGAAATATAGCAATTGACAATAAAATTGCTGTATCTTTTTAACTGGAAAAATGATGGAATGGGTCTTGGTTAGAAAGTCCATTAAATAAAGTAGCAAATCTATTTTTCTTGGGTTTTTATCTTCATTCACGGAATGTAGGTGTCACTGGCTAGATCAGCATTTACTGTTCATCCCTATTTGCCCAGAGGGCAGTCAAGAGTCAACCACATTGCTCTGGGTCTGGAGTCACATGTAGGCCGGTCCAGCTAAGGATGACACCTTCCTTCCCTAAAGGACATCAGTGAACCAGATGGCTTTTCCCACCAACTGCTATTGGTTTCATCATTAAACTTTTTAATTCCAGATTTTTTAAAAAAATCTGCCGTGGTGGGATTTGAACCCAGTTTTCCACAATGTTGCCTGGATCTCTGGATTAATTGTCTAGCGATAATACCACTTTGCCATTGCCTCCTCTCAAATATCATACATCGGATCTCTCTAGATAACGTAAACTTTCTCTCTAACATTTAATATTCTTTTCAATCTTTTGTACTTTTCCCCAAAGACTTCAAGAAAAATTCTGCACATTGTATTTGAGCTTCTTTACATGTGCCATAGATTTATATTTGGCATTGCTTTTGGATCCTGTGTTTTTAAGCTGTTGCTAAACTTTTTGATAGTTTCTTATGTCACCAAAAATCATATCATCTGTGTTTTTGCCCCACTTTGTATGCTCCATCTCTGTATTTGAGATGGTTTTCTTGGTAGAATTGTACCTTCACGATAACACTTGATATGGCAGACTGTCAGCTGATGTCACACTTTGAGTAGTTCTGACAGAGTAAAATTACATCAGGGAAAATTAAATCTGTTTTTGATTTTTTTTCAGATTGTTATTTGTTTGCCTGTTGAACATTTAAAAATTGAATACAATGGCATATTGTACATTTTCAAAATGCTTTATTATTTTTGTCAATTGGTGTTTTGAGATAGATTCGGATGTGTGCTTTGATTCTGGAGATGCTAACAGGGCTTAAATGTTTGGCAGGCGAGTGTAGACATACTTAAGCGCCTTAAAATTATTAAATGCAATTCAATTGTGATATAATCTGGTTATGAATTCACTACTGACGAGGGTAAATTCAGCAGCATGCTCCA